GGAAAAATGTATCCATTTAATATCCTGTTAGTAGGGAGATAATATCCTGTTAGTAGGGAGATATGAAGGTATGTTTCCTTTAGTAAATCATATTTTTCGCTGAGGTTTCGAATATGTCAATTTGCCAAATGCTTAGAAACATAAGCACACTTATGATTATGATCTCAGACTTATATATTATGACATGTACACACCAGTTTGTCATGTAATATGATTTACACACACTCATAATTAAGTATAACCGATTTTACATATGTTCCAGGTTTAGCATCAACTTCGGCTGTGATTGCGAGAATAATTCGACGGCCTTCCACTTCAATCCGCGTCCCACAGAGGGCGTGGTCATCCGGAACGCCAACCTTGGAGGCTGGGGAGATGAGGAGAGAGACTATGAAGCTGAGTTCCCCTTTACACCCATGAACTACTTTGACGCCATGTTTGTCTGTACAGATGACCAATATGTTGTACGTATACCGACAGGTCCATCCAGTTTTACGTCACCATCATATGGTCTAATTGTATTATTTAAATAAAAAACACTGACAAATACACTCTAATTTAAAGTTTTCGTTTAATACCTAAGGGTTATTTAACGGGATTTTTTTTAAACGAACAAACACGTTTACAAGTTGTTACCGTTGCTTAAGGATCCCAGTCCCACTAAGGTTTTTATCTATAAGGAGTAATCTCCCCTTAACTTCCGTTTTGATATAACTGTAGAGCAATTGGGGGAGGACACTTCCGTCGACCAGGTAGCTTCAATCGGTTAGAGCGATAGTTTCGCAGTGTGTAGTTCATGGTTCGAATGTGGGTTTAGCCACGAAATGTCTTTTTTTATGCTAAGAACTCTGTTGTTAATTATATCTTGTATAATTCATCTTAATCATTTCTGATAAATGTCCAGCAAACAATGGTTTTCTTTTCAGAAATGATTTATCAAAGCTGTAGTCACGACAGATATTTAGTTACAGTTTTTGGCAGTAGTACGGAGATCTTTAACATTTTTTTCATATGGGTAATTATAACATTCACGTGTTTTGATGAAAGGTCCATGTAAATGACAAGTACTTCACTAACTTCGGCCACCGCTGTGGAGTTCCAGACGCAAGTCATTTCCACATTCAAGGTAACATGGATATCAAGGACGTCGAGTACTACGAACCCCTGGTAAGGAATTCAAACTATTTTATCATGATATTCAATCTTCCTCATTTCCATGCAGAAAAATAAATTGACTTTAATTTATTGATTTTGTTTCAAGCTTTTCTATTTATTTATGAAATATTCACAATTCTTTCTTGGTAGGACGATGACTTTGTGAAGGAGATTCCATGTGGTCTTGAGAAAGGAGACGTCGTCTTCTTTAAGGGGTTTATGAGGCCAGGAGGTGATACGTAAGTAACACAACCAAGATGTTCAACTTCGTAGATAATACCATGATAAGCCGGATAGGCTGTTAATCAACCGATAATGTACAACAGATTCAGGGTTCCACTTCATTCCTTCATTGGTTCCTCTTGTAGTCAATATTCAATTGCTGCATACCTGACGTAATTTTGAGATACAAGAAATTTACTGCCGTATGGAGTAAAAACATGGATTAGAATTTGAACATTTTAGAAAAAACCCTAAAAGAGACATCAATTGTCAAACAATAGTTTATGTTAAACTTATGTATATCATCCATACGCATTTACTTCAATAACTTTTACATATTGCATACTGAACATTTGAAATAAAAATCCGTACCCAAAGTACGACATTGCGCACATTTATGTACGTGTTCGCGGTTTGGTTTTGTTTAATTTTCAAAACGTAAAAAGAATCACATTGATACTTCTAATGGAAGTGTGCCTCTTCATTAGGTAATTACATAATGAAGTAACAAGAAATTATCAGTATGAAAATATTGGTTTCCGTGTCATTTACAGTAAAAACTGAATGTGTCAATTATTTTAGTTTCTCCGTCAACCTAATGAATGGACCTTCTGCCGACGATGACATCGCCTTTCACTTCAACCCTCGAGTGGGAGAGGGAGCGCTGGTGATGAACTGCCGGATGGGTGACTGGGGCGAGGAGGAAAGGGAAGACCTTCCTTCCTGTTTCACAAACAATGAACCATTCGAGATCAAAGTCGTAACAAAGAGCAGGAAATTCAAGGTACGATGAGTTTAGAATATCATATCAGATATTATGGAGGACTGATTCTACTTCCGCGTGATTATATATACGTTTGCCTGCCTGATCTCATAATTTTATAACTGCACTAAATTTTGCCGCATTTATAAATGAGGGAATTATTTTAATCGCAAAACACATGCCCCTTGCCCTTAATGCAATTTTTTGTTTATTCATAATAACAATATATTTACATAACAATATTTTTGACCTGGTCCACAGCTTTACGTGAACGGTAAAAAGGTTGCCAAATTTGACGCCAGAGGACAAGTAGGCGACATCAAGGGAATCAACGTCAGAGGTGATGCCTTTATATACCAGGCCAAGCTTCAGAGGAAAATGGTGAGAATACAACAATGTTTAGGTGTTCTCATCTCATATATCATAGTTCGGACGATCATTATTGACCTGTGGATTAACGATAAAGAAAACTATGTTCAACCAAAGATATACTTACAGAGTCACGAATATATTCAGATTCATTGATAACGACATTAAACATTCTTATTATTCAAACAATAACATATTTCAATTTTTAAGCATGCTCTAAGTGCATTCAATTCAGAAATATAGATTTCGAACCGTTAAGGATTAGAGTACCTGTCCGAATCAAGGCAAAACGCTGTTGTTTGGTGGGTTTTTTTAATTCTTTCCTCGATGTGTATGATCAATATATAAACCTTAAACTTAACCATAGGTCCATTCATCTACTGAGCCGCATACATAGTAGTAAAGGTGACTTTGGTACGGATAAATACAGCTACATATCGGTAGCCCGAGCAGAGTTTGATTATCTTGATTGTTCTAGCACTAACGTTTCGACAGCTCTCTAAATAACGGCCTTCATGGAAAGTTCAGAACTCCTTTAATACTGACAACAATCAGCAGGAACCCTATTTATAATCTTTGCGACAAGCTATTGTGCATTTTTGAACTCTTCCAATTCAAAGGTTGTAATTCAGGGGTGAAAGGGTTAATAAAAAGTTTCAACAATGTTTTTTTTTAAGGAAAAGCCAGTAGCCATTGAGAGAATCCCGGGTGGTTTCCGTGAAGGAGGATGGGTTGTAATCCAAGGAATTCCAAAGAAAGGATCCGGAGGGTACATATCTTTTAAGAATATCTTTTATGAAGCGTAGATATACGTTATATATAATTGTGTTTGATTTCTGAACATATTTGAATAAGTATTTCGTTTACAGTTATAACTCTTCTGCGTAGATAACCTAAAACACTAATGTTTATATTTTCGAAATATATGTGTTCTTTGACTCTCTTTTCTAACTACATAATTTCAATATCTATTTGATAATTTGATGAATATCTGACCTGAACGTTTTGTGTAGACTCATTGTTGAATTATTAAATGTTGTGCGTAGATTTGCAGTAAACTTGACATGCGGTGATGACGACGCTGATGACATTGCCATGCACTTTAACCCCCGATTGGAAGAGAACTGTACCATTCGAAACACGTGTACAGGAGGTGATTGGCAGGGGGAAGAAAGAGACCAGCCAAGCTTCCCTTTCGAACTCAAGGACACATTTGAAATCGCCATCAATGCCCAACCAGACAAATTTGTTGTACGTATACTACACAGAAATATACAATTTTGTTGGAAAGCAAATTGTTAACCAGAACATGAAAGCATTGAGTACCATTTTCATTTGTCGGCTTCGGAAGTTATACAGTAAGCAAAACATTAACGCAATACATTTCATCATGATATTATCCACACGGAAATAAACGCAGCAGCCACTGTGTGGAAATATTGATAAACAGAAAACGCATCGAGCGTTTAACAATTATAATAACTTGTTGGTTGTATGCACAACGAAATGTAATAGAAAACATGCAATAACATCTTATCTAAAACCTTGTACCTTTTAGACATTCGTCAATGGTCAGAGGTACGTGGAATATGCCCATCGCCTCCCGCTGGACAGCGTGTGCCACTTAAAGCTAACAGGAGATGCTGACTTCTTTGAACCAGAGTTCTTCTAAAACCATCGTTAGTATATCTAAGTTTCAGTTATGGCGTATGCCTTGTCTGTTTCGAAATTGTGTAAAAAGGATAAACAACCAGGAAAACAGCCAATGTCTTTGTCCACTTATTGCTATCCTAACAGAAAATGCCTATAAGATGCTAGATTTTTCAATGCATATATTGTAAATCTGTTTTGCGTTATATAGTTTTCCATAAACGTTTTGTCTCTTTCTTCCACAGCAAACAGTCCTGTGGAAACAACACCAGAAGAAATAGAGCAAGTAGGGAGTAGACATACTAGTGACACAGACTTTTCAATACATTCATGCCTCTAAAAAGATAGTATGCTGCAATTATTGCATGGACATATGACTATAGATGGACACCGTTCTAGACAGAAGGAATTAAACAACAGTGTATTATATATTATGTAACAGCTATGGTGTATCTTTAAATATATCAATATGCATGTATGAAGGATAACATGTATGCGCTTTATTTTACCGACGCAATCAATGAGAGCTTAGCACAATCTGTCCGAAAAAAGGTACTTAATGTCGTTATATTTGTGATTTATAATGTTAAATAAACTATTTTATATGACATCCGTATTTAGATTGTTTTATTTCGATATTACTGTTCTCACACAATATATATAAAAAAGATAATGTATCTCTCCAACGCAGAACTGCTTCGGTCACATGCATAAAACAGATGCTTTTCTTATAAACAAGTTAACACAGACAAAAAAATCAATTTATCGGTAAAGAACATCACATTATGTGCGAAGTGTAATTTCGTTAATATCCATTCAGTTACAATATCAGTTTTGGTCCTTAAACGTTAGATAAGTCTTGAGCCAAATCCCTTGTATCCATTTGGACAATACAACATGTTTCAAGTCAAACAACAAACGCACATTCAACGTAGGCATAACCAGAAGTTCCGGAGGTGTTTTCTACAGCACATGTGGCACTCGTTATTGTTACACCCGTCAAATCCTGGAGGTCACCAGCGATCTTAGTGAATTAGTGAGTAATCCTTTAACCAGGTAGGCACTGAAATATCCCATATCGATATAACAATATCTTAATAACGACTGTAATGTTACTTCAGCGTGAATACCTTGAACGAAAGGGTAAACAACTTTTTCTAGAGAATACAGTAGTCAACAGGACGCAATTTTCCTGATAGTTCTGGTACCTAAACCTGCTTCAGAATAGGGAATCAAGTATGGCATATACACTCATAAAGTAGGGGAGACTGAAAGTGAAGACAAGAAATTATCATATAATTGCTGTCATTGTCTGTTGTTTATCAAAGTCTGGTAGTGAGGTGACTATTGTAAATAAATGTTAAGATATGAAGCTGAAGAAAAAAAATGTAATCTTTAATTCAAAATTCTTAACGAAAAATGAGGGCAAAGTAGTTTTTTAATGTGATATTAATGGATCGAGTAAATAAATCATATGACCAAGTAGGGAACCATGCAATAATCCGTTCTTTGTAATGTCGCTTGTGCAGACCGGCCAAGATGGGACAGGGAGTCGGATTTCGTATCATGACATAAACCTAGATCTAGTAGTTACATCACTATCAATCTTCATGACAACGTGATGACAATAATAAAACTAGCGTTATATTTCCTTGCTTATAAGCAACATATCAATCTCCCCTGTTTTCACGGTTGATTCGCCTTTATAAGTACATAATTTTCTAGATAAATGCACCCTATCCACCGAATAACTATCTAGCCAGGGTTCTAGCGTTATAATGGAAATGTTTTGCTTACAATTAGGTTTAACTTTTTGATAAAACGAAGGATATCCCAGAAAAAAGCAAAACAACGCTAGCTAAAAGCTCGCAATGAAAAACATGTTCTACATTGAGAGAGACCAGCGACACTGTTCATGAGTAAGTTGATTTCTTGATATCTAATTTATGAAGAACATAGTGCTAGTTATAACACTAGCTTGATCGGGACAGGCTTACTAGACTCGAGTTGTGTATTCGAGGTCTAGCGAGAGATTGTATATCATGATCTGAGTGCCAAGCTGGCTATTGTTGATAAGGACTGACCATACTACAAGGGAAATGCACAGATCGAATTAGTGCGATATTTTGTCAGCGAGGCCTGGTGAGGTAGACATAATAGAGCGGCAGTCTATAAGTCCATGAATGTAACACAGCTGTTAAAAGGTTAGCTGGGTCCAAGACAAAGAAATGTGTACATTGGTGTAAATGTTGGACTGAACTTCGTTGGGAATGTAAGATTTGTTTTGTTTTGAAATGTTAAAGCTTTTACGTCCTCGGAAAAGCTTATATAACATGAAAAGTGGAAAAACTGGTTAGGAGGAGAAACAAAAGAAGTGCGAAAATATACAGTAGGGGCAGCTAATCAGTTGTTACTTCTTCAAATTCTCATATAAAAAGCACATAGTAGAAAACCGCTCAATTCTGTAGGGATTCACACATAAGTAGCCTCATATTATTACATACAGTTCGACCAAGGTATACTCTTTTCCCGAACCTGACGTAGAGGATAAATATAATCATCCTTATTCCTGTCATCCGTCAGAAATCTTACACCAGTCTCGATACCAACACTGAAAACGTTAGTAATATTGTTTCTGGCCATTACGAAAAAAATCTTATATTACTTGTCACTATACAGATCAAACTACTTTGGACGTTATGATTTGGTATAACCTTATAAAATATAACCTTAAGCAGTTAGTCCTTGGACTAGGATATTGAAATTCTTAGGGGAAAATGAGAGATCATCAACGGAGTCCGTCATGGACTCCAGGTGTTCGGTACTTTTTTTTTAGTTGTAGCATGATAAAATCATCGGGGACAGCGGTGGTCAAGTGGTTAAGGCGTCCAAAGGGGTTTAAAATTCTGACTCTAAATTGAGAAATAATGAGGGTATTACTTTAAAAAGGTACAGGTATGCAACGCCTCCAATAACAACAATAAAAAGACGTTGAAATCGGCAAATATATGGATTACACTCTTCCAATTGTTATATATCGATGCCGCAAACATTATTAGGCCCTCGCTAAACATAAATCCTTACTCACAGCTTTTAACAAGTTCTATTTCAGCTAAAATAGCTTCAAAACTTGGCATAGGACGTAAAACACAAACAAACCAAAATAAAACCAATGATAAAATCGGGACACAGCAGCACCTAGAGAGATATCTTTAGTTACGAAAAACTGATGACGCAACACAATACCAAGAGACTATTGTGTTTAAGAAAATTAACGCCTGGGTAACACAGGTATACGGGGTCATGATGTTTTCACACGTTTACACGCAATCTATCGCTGCATCATAAAAACAATCAAAACACCAAAATGGTTTTCTTAAAATAATTCTCGGCATATTTTATATCAAACAGAAGGGTCAACATTTTTTACAAAATCACCAAAAGTCTATCGCTTCATCGAACAACAATAAAAAAATGAAATAAATACCGAGAAACAAAATATTTCATTTGATTTTTTTTTTTGGAAAAGCAATTATAGTGATTTTTATATTGTTTAGATGCATGTTAAATACCTTAAAGGGACGTTCTGTTTTTTTGAAATGCTATTGACATGACTAATGTTGTTTCAATGCAGCGATAGACACGGTTTTACGTTAAACAAATACTGATGTTATGTACCTTTGCGGAGCGATAGCAAACACATGGGCGGAACTGTTCAAAATTGAAGTATCGCGTTAAATGCTGCAGATAAATAGTTACTGCTTATTTTGTTTTCATACAGCAGGCGTTCGGGGCAACAGGTACCCTGTAAACAGACATTAAGTCCATAGTTAATACAACATATCATTTGAGTGCGGATACATGCCTGATCATTATATTGTCTCTAGATAATATCGATGGGATGATCACATATGATTGCACACTTTATCCAACTAACAAAACTCTTAACGTATGAAGTTTACAAAAAAAAGTGTTTACAAAGTTAAAGTTGTCAGAGCTCTGTCAGCTGATACGACAAAATCCTTTTTCTGGAGAATGATTTGATATTTGACAGCAGAGTCAATAAAACTAGATTTTAAGCTTGGGTGTTGTTGATATACAATATATCATAAATGACGGTGATTCATTGTAAATTCTAAGCTGAAGGATTATAGGTTCTCGATGTAACATCCAAACAATGTTTAAAGACAAAACTATTTCATGAAGCACAAACACTGTCTATATCATAGGAAAGATAGCGCGGTTATGAAAGGATAGAAAGCAAGATTCGTAAACTCGTTCCCTCAACACTGGATAGAAAGCAAGATTCTCAAACTCGTTCCCTTAACACAGAATAGAAAGCAAGATTCTAAAACTCGTTCCCTGAATACAGGGTCAAAAGCAAGATTCTAAAACTCGTTCCCTGAACACAGGATAGAAAGCAAGATTCTAACAATCGTTCCCTGAACACAGGATAGAAAGCAAGATTTTAAAACTCGTTCCCTTAACACAGGATAAAAAGCAAGATTCTCAAACTCGTTCCCTTAACACAGGATAGACTGCAAAATTCTAAAACTCGTTCCCTTAACACAAGGTAGAAAGCAAGAGTCTAAAACTCGTTCCCATTACATAGGGACAAAAGCAAGATTTTCAAACTTGTTCCCAGTACATATGCTATAATGCAGGGTTTTTCAAATCATTCTCATTACAAATGAAAGATAGCGAGGTCATCGGTCTCGTTTCCAGTACATAGGATAAAAATCAATGTTCTAAAAATCGTTCCCAGTAAATAGGGTAGATAGCGGGATTCTCGATCCCATTATCGGATCGAAAGCATGGTTCTCAAAATTGTTCCCAGTACATGGAATAGATAGCAAGGGTTATTGATCCTGTTAAACAAGATAAAAAGCAAAATTCTAAAACACGTTTCCAGTACATATACTAGGTAGCTGGGTTTCTCAAAATCGTTCCTATTAAATAGGGATTGATAGCGAGGTTCTTAATCTCGTTTCCATTACGTGGGATAGAAAGCAAGGTTCTCAAAATCGTTCTCATTA